CCGGGATCGAAGCGCGTTTCTCTTTCCTACCTAAATTATAATACCGTCATCGTGCCACCTGCCTCCAGTCAAGGAATGTCACACAGAAAATCTGGTCGGCAATAAACCTCTAGTGCTGCATCATTGGATTGGATCCTCCCCGCACCGCATATCCAGTACCCGGGAGAAAAAGGCAACCAAACCACATAAACTCAGACGCCACGCATCACCACAGGACAGAGATCATCGTCACCGCTGCTCCAACCGTGAGTGGAGGAGGGCTACCTACTTACCTACCAAGGCAGGATGCCGTCCACCGCTGCTCGGCTTGCCCTCGCGGCTCTGGTGACAGCATCAACCTCACCGCTGGCAGTCAACGCTCTCCTGAGCACACCTGGATCACCATGCGAGAAACACTGCGGCAATCAGCAAGACCACACCGCGCGGGATGAGATTGTTTGTGATAGGGGCAGCATTGGGAAGACAGCGGCTGGGATAGTATGGGAGAACTGCATCAATTGTCAGTTGAGGAGCAACTACACATCTGGAACCAAGTCAGACCAGGGCGCTCTTGTTTGTATGTTCCTCCGGCCTTCCTTTTCACCAACATACAGCAAGACTGATACTGACAAACCTCAGACAACCTTCGATACGCTATGGACACCTGCCTATGGCATAGCGGCGACAGCACACCATGCACCGGATCGTAAGTTGACAACAACCCCCAAGTGTGCCCCAGGTTGCCCGAGCAGCCACGCCGCAATCCTCCCGTATACCTCCTCCGTGCTGACAGTGCCTCAGGACAGCATGCGGCCCGCTAGAAGATGCCGTAGAGTTCCGCAGGAACGACACCTCCGGCCGCAACCCATACGCCTTTTGTGATTTATGGGAAGAGACCTTCATCCCAAGATGCTCGCCATGTATAGTCGGCGAGCAGCGAGGACGTGGCCTCTTTCTCAACAACTACCTCTGGATCCTCGAAGCTGCCTGCGAGCAGAAACCCGACCCCGGATATACCGTCGCCATCCAAGGCGAGGTATTCGGTGAAAACACCGTCACTATCGTCCCACCAGAAACCACCCTCATCGGCGTCCCAACGCCAGATTACGGCCCTGTCTCCCTCGGTGCTAGGGTTGGTATCGCCTTTGGCGGCATCGCGCTACTTCTTGTTCTGGCCGGCTTCTTCATTGTCTGCAACGGTAAGAGAAGGAGACGGGCTTTTTTAAGGGATCTGGAGAAGCGCCACGCGCAAGCGAATAACAGGTATGGTGGCGGAGGAGGTGATATGTTTGAGACACCGGTTAGTCAGCGACCACTCAGGGGGTGGGAGAACGAGAGCCCTGTCTCTGCGGCCACCGAAGCGACGGAACGGACGCTCCCACGATACATCTCGCCATACACGAGCACGTACAACAGCCCCGTTTCCGGACCGGGGGGTTCAGCGACGGTAGCGGCGAACTGGCCGTCGTTGTCGCCGCAGCAGATGCACAGCCAGCGACTGGATCAGTTATTACAGCAGCAGTCACCTGCGCATGGGTCGCCACCACCGGCTTTCACACAGTGGCCTTCGGTTGGGCAGGAGAAGATGGTTATGCAGACGTATACGCAGCACGAGAAGCGACAGAATGAGATTGCTATTGGGCTGGCGTTGGGAGGGGATGAGGCGAGCTTGAGGAGTAAGCCGTCGAATGGGACGATGAATAACGATCGGTATGGGTATCCGGTGGAGGATAAGGGGAAGCAGAGGGATGAGGTGTATGAGTTGAAGGAGGTGGAGAGTCCGTATAATGGGCAGAATGGGGAGGGGATGGTGCATGGGAGTAATAATCCTTATTATCAGATGCCGAGTCCACCACAGGCACCGGTGCTGCATCACCCGGGGTATGGGAGGGCACATGGGAGTCGGCCTGGGTCAGGGGATAAGGGGGCGACGGGGTTGGGGTTACAGAGTGTGTCTGTCTCATGATGGAGAAGAGGGGTGTGTGTCTTTTTGTTTGTTTGATTTTGGTTTTGAACTGCTTTGAGCTATAATACCCGCCCCCTGAGATGATAGGGGGGCATTTGGAGTTGGATTTTGAGATACCTGGTGTTTGTTGGGTCCTTGGAAAGTGTATAAGGTTGGATATGGGTATATATTTCGGAAGCATACCTCTTACCTTGGCTTGGGAGTATAACTTAAGGGGAATGAATACTGCTAGGTATTCTGGAGGTCTCGAGAGGGCTACCTGTAGAGTCTGGCTGTGGGAATATAACATTGCAATTGCCGTTTTCTATGAATCCGTTGGATCACCGTGACTCCCAGTTACCCAGAACTCTCCTAAGGGGTGTTCAAGACAAGGCCTTGCTCCTGATGCTGAATTCCATTGTCGAGTCGCCGGTGTCCAACAACAGTGACAACTTATGGGCCCGAGCTTCTCTCAACACCGGATATATGCATATCTGATCACGATAACAGGACTCGAAGCAACGCCATACCTCATCAGGTTAGCGCCCTACCGCCACGCTAAACGGTTCCCCACATTATTCTTTTTGGCCGTCGTAAGAAAAAATTTGGAGAGCTTCACTCTGAGCTGCTCTGCCCTCTCTCTTGATCGCTTCATCTCGACCAACAACACGGTGGACAAATCGTGCGGCTCCTGAAGACCCTCCCTCTACCAGACAGCCGTCCGAATCGTGAGCCCTTTTATTCACGGACCACCCATATCATCACTTTTCTCTTTTTTCAATTCACTTTTCCCCAGTCGCAAAACTCCAGCGCGTCAAGAAAGAAACATATACCCGACTAACATTAGTCCCCCACTACTTCCTCACCAACAAACCAAACCCGATCGCGACTCGAGATATACCGAATTGCGAAAGTAATCCACCATGTCAGCTTCCAAGGATGCCATCATGCCCTCGGCGGCGCCCGCTCCCCCTGTGGACGACGAGCAGCTCCCTCTTCTTCTCAAGGGCTACAACGACATGATTGTTCGCACCAACCACTGGACCCCCATTCCCTACGGTTGTGCCCCTCACAAGCGCGACATCAAGTCCTACATCTCCAGCGGTGTCATCAACCTTGACAAGCCCTCCAACCCTTCCTCCCATGAGGTTGTCGCGTGGCTCAAGCGCATGCTTCGGTACGTTTTTGCGAACAAAACAAAGAAGAAGAGATGGGTGGGAGAAGTGGCTAATGGATTTTGTGCTGTAGCGTTGAGAAGACTGGTCACTCTGGTACCCTTGATCCCAAGGTCACTGGCTGCTTGAGTAAGTTGAAAGAAGAAAAAAACCCTGTGCGACTGGATTGGTGGGGGCAAAGTTGTTAACATGGTGGGAAAATAGTTGTCTGCGTTGATCGCGCTACTCGTCTCGTCAAGGCCCAGCAGGGTGCCGGTAAGGAGTACGTTTGCGTCATCCGTCTCCATGACAAGGTCCCCGGCGGTGAGGCTGCCTTTGCCCAGGCCCTCGAGACCCTCACTGGTGCTCTCTTCCAGCGCCCCCCTCTTATTTCGGCCGTCAAGCGTCAGCTCCGTATCCGTACCATCCACGAGAGCAAGCTCATTGAGTTCGACAATGACCGCCACCTTGGTGTGTTCTGGGTTTCTTGCGAGGCCGGCACCTACATCCGTACTCTTTGCGTCCATCTTGGTCTTCTCCTTGGTGTTGGCGCTCACATGCAGGAGCTCCGCCGTGTTCGCTCCGGTGTCATGTCCGAGGACGACGGCAAGCTTGTTACTCTTCACGATGTTCTCGATGCCCAGTGGGCTTACGACAACGGCGGCGATGAGACCCTCCTTCGCAAGGTCATCCACCCCCTGGAGACTCTCCTGTGCACTTATAAGCGCCTCGTTGTTAAGGATTCCGCTGTCAACGCTGTCTGCTACGGTGCCAAGCTCATGCTTCCCGGTCTGTTGAGATACTCCAAGGACATCGATGTACACGAGGAGGTTGTTCTCATCACTACTAAGGGTGAGGCTATTGCCATTGGTATTGCGCAGATGAGCACTGTTGAGATGTCGACCTGCGACCACGGTGTCGTCGCCAAGGTCAAGCGCTGCATCATGGAGCGCGACCTTTACCCCCGCCGCTGGGGTCTCGGCCCTACTGCCATCGAGAAGAAGAAGCTCAAGTCTGATGGCAAGCTCGACAAGTACGGCCGTGTCAACGAAAGCACCCCCGCCGCCTGGAAGGCCGGCTACAAGGACTACTCCGAGGCTCAGCAGGGCGCTGAGGGCGCTGCTCAAGAGGCTGCTGCCCCTCCCACCCCTGCCAAGGCTGCCGAGCCCGAGGCCGCTCCCGCTGCTTCCTCGCCTGTGAAGGAGGAGAAGGACAAGAAGCGCAAGAGCAAGCACGAGGGCGAGACCGCCGAGGAGAAGGCTGAGCGCAAGAAGGCCAAGAAGGAGAAGAAGGAAAAGAAGTCCAAGAAGGATGCTGAGGATAGCGACTAATGGATTTTTGAGATGCTCTCTGGATCTTCCTTTTCTTTTGTTGTTTGCACAACTCACAAACCTCGAGGCGTTTTATATGGGGGGGGCTGGTATAGGGAAAAATTGGAGGGCGTTTTAGGAGTCTTTTTTTCCTTCCTGTCTGATATCATGGCATACAGCTTGTTGCGGTAGCACGAAATGCATTATATACCTCTGGTACATTGCGAGTTTTCATGTTGAGGGGGTGGTGGGGGGTGGGGGGTGGATGTATGTATGTATGGTTGTATGTATGAATGGAGCTTTTACATGAGATGTTCAGAGTGTGTGATGGTAATGATGTGAGCGATTGTTCTCGGTGTCTGGACGAGCAACCTGAACACATTGAAGTTCTCAACTCTCTAGATGATCACGTTATAGAACTCCACGCCCAAAATTCTTTTGAAGGTGTACCCCCCAACCATGAGACTTATGATATGGACTAAATGGGTTTAAGTTTACGCCGGGATGCTCTTCTTCCATTTTTATGTTGATGTTGCTGGGTTTCGAACGTATTTGGCTTCAGGATGGCTTCATGTATTGTGAACAGGACTTGGCAAAGACATCAAGCAAACAGCGGGTTTAGCTCAGTTGGGAGAGCGTCAGACTGAAGTTAACTTCAATCGGTTAAAATGATGTTCCGAGGAATCGGGGTGTCAGGAAGACAATCTGAAGGTCGTGTGTTCGATCCACACAAACCGCACTGTTTTCTTTTGGGCTTGTCTTTTCGGAACCATGTCACCTTTTTTTTGGCTTCTTGCGTGAAAAAGGAGTACTCGTACCTCGAGTTTTTCTCTGAGTAATGTATTGAAGCGACTACCCCAGAGAAGTGTCAGGATTTGTATCGGCAACTTTCACTGCCCCGTACACTTTGAAACAATATGGGGTGTTTGGGAGAGGTCGGGGTTTTATCACGCCGATGGATATTTGACTTTGGAGGCGTCACAACCACACCAGAACGTGAGCCGACCGAGCGGTGCAGTGACGGGTGAGCTAGGCTAGGGAGAGGCATGGTGTTGAGATCAGCCCGAGCTATGAGTTGCTAGTGGACGTTGGTCCAGAGTCTGGATCATGCGAGGAGGGTGAGTGAAGTTTTCGGTCACCTTTGAGATTTTTAACTCGAGGAAAGGTCATGAGTAAATGGTGAAAGCACCAGGCTTTTTAAGCTTATGGAGGCTTGACAACACTTCTCGAGTAAAATCTCTTTTCATAAGGACTGAGAGTTTTCGAAAAGGATCACCAAGCAACCTGCGCAATTGGTTGGCCGACTACGAGCAGGCACGACAGACACAGCGCGCTTCATCTCAACCCCATCTTCTTCATCTGTGGTCCATCTGTGCGGTTGCCGAAGAGCACAGCTCACTCGCGCGTCGGTAAGTTGCATTCTTACGCGCATATACGCAATCCCAATACGATTTCGGACCGTTTCTACAGTCCAGATTGGGCACCAGAAACACAAGAAGAACAATGAAGGTTCATGTTCTGGAAGACTTGATCTTATCAATCCTTTTTGTGGTACCTGGATTTTGCTTTGACCTCTTCCGACTTGAAGCCTGACTGACACACGAACCCCTACCTACCTACCTATTCAGAAGTGCTTCCAGCCTCCATTTTTTTGACAGAACATCAAGGGACAGGGACAAAGACCCTCTGTGCGCCGCGCACTTTTACGATAGAAACGAGGAGACAGAAGGATTTGCGATGATGTCAACCTTTTGATTAATTTTCTTCTCGTTCTTAGACTTTTGGATATCATTTCTTCCCTCGCCGGCCTCTGGAAGGCTTCTTTGACGATCCTCTCTGTTGACTAAGGCCTCCTCCTCCATCAGGAGAGCTGAGAGACGGCTTGCTGATCCCCATAACCATCAACTGGTTGGGGTCCAAACTCACACCTTTTTGTCGCCACCCTTCCTCTTAGTGAGAGGGTCAATAAACAACAACAACAACAAACCTTACCTCGGAGCACCATGCTCTCCACGCTCGTTACCCTCCTTTCCCTCCTCCACCTCATCACCGCCACCTCCCCATTACTAAACCACGACTTCCCCGACCCGTCCATCCTCCTCGACAGCTCCGGAACCTACTACGCCTTCGCCACCTCCCTCCTCACCGGCTCCTCCCCCAAAAACATCCAAGTCGCCTCTGCCCCCTCGCCGCTGGGACCATGGACTTACATCGACACCGACCCCCTCCCCAATCCCGGCTCTTGGACCGCCGGCCCCGGCTCCCTAACCTGGGCCCCCTCGGTAGTCCAACTATCCGATAACTCCTACGTAATGTACTACTCCGGCCAGCTCTCAGGCAACAACTCGGCCTACCACTGCGTCGGCGCCGCCAAATCAACCTCCATCACCGGCCCTTACTCCCCCCTCTCCCAACCCATCGCCTGCCCCCTCTCCCAAGGCGGGGCCATCGACCCCTCCGGCTTCCTGGACCCCCCGACAGGGAAACGCTATCTAGTCTACAAAGTCGACGGGAACTCCCTCGGGCACGGCGGCTCCTGCGGAAACAGCGTCGCGCCGCAGGTCTCGACGCCTATTATACTGCAGCCGGTGGCGGACGACGGGATGACGTTTGTGGGGGAGGAGACGACGATACTGGACAGGACGGAGGAGGATGGGCCGCTGGTGGAGGCGCCGGATTTGTACTGGGATGGGGAGACGGGGACGTATGTGCTGTTTTATAGCAATCACTGCTGGAGTGAGGAGGGGTATAGTGTTAATTATGCTACGAGCGGGAGGTTGGAGGGGGGGTACAAGAGGGCGAGTAAGGGGAGCTTGATTGCCACGGGGGATGGGCTGGGGGTGGTGGCGCCGGGGGGGGCGAGCGCGGTGGGGAGGGTGGGGGAGGGGGGGGGGAATAGGACTAGTATTGTTTTTCATGGGAATTGTGGGGAGGGGAGGTGTTTGTTTGGGGTTGATATTAATATTGGGGTTTCGTGAGAGAAAAGGGATGGGGGGGTTGGAGATGTGAGGGTGTGTTGGATATAGGTTGTTGAGGGGGTTTGGGGAGGGATGTATTTCATGATAGATATGAAAGAGATCTGGATACCTAGCTGGGGAGAGGGTGATGATGTTGCAGGGGATATGAAAGAGATAATGGTGGGATGGATACCGAAAAAAAAGGTGTATATAGATGGGTTACCTAATGTGTAATACGATTTTCATACTTGAAGTGTGCGCCTTTCACTCGTGCTGGGGTGTTGATGCGGTACCGAAGAGCTCCTGAAGAAACTTCTGTACATGAATGAACCTATGATGGCTCAAGGAGTTGTAGCAGAGACGAAACGCATAACACCTCTAGATGGGACGAACCAGATCCGCAGGCGAGGTGGTCGTCTGGTCTCAAGATTGGGTCTCAAGATCTGTAGGTGATGGCCTATTAAAGTGGCCGATATAACGGCCATGCCGCCCCTCCATGGCCACATGGGGAGCCGCCCACCACCCCCGGAAAGGGCAATCCGTTGTGATTGTGCTCTCCACGTGTGTCTTCAGTTACAAGATGATGTTGATGAGACAAAACATGTTTTCGAAGACTGAAGAAGCTTCAGGAATTGGCATCATCCTGAGGCAGGAAAAGGACAAAGATAGAGGCTGTGGTGATGGAAATAGAAGCAGTACCAGAGTTCAAGAGTCTTCGGTTAAGGTAGTCTGGGCTATATAGGATCGTCGATGTGCCATGCCGGTACCACCACCCATCTCTTGTCTGTCTTGGATTTTGTGTCTGTGTCACGGCACGATATAGACGGGAAAGATGGGAAAGATGGGAAAGAGTCTGTGGGCACGGGATTGAAGAAGATCTGATATCAGGCCGGTTTCCTTCACCCTGTGCTGATATCGGTATCTGAGTTGATCGAGATGAGATCCAAGCGCGAGACTCTGGAGAAGAGGATACCTAGATCACAGTGAAAAGTCCACACAGCGGGTAAACGGCGCTGTAAAGTCACAGCAGGTGTGTGACCTTTCCCAGTGTCGTGCAGGCGCAGTTGGTGCAAGAAGCGAATGAGCTTCAGGCAGCGCCAGAAGTTCGTTTAAGCTTCCACCCCCCCATTCCCAAAGGGGTTAAGCCCAGGTCGCTTACCCCGCTTGGCATGATCTTTGGTGATCTCCAAGCGCCCGCCAAGACACACTTCCCAGATTCTCACTTCTTCTTCACCTTCACCTCGCCGACACTCGGCATGGGCCTGGGCAGTGGGCGAAGCGCTGCGGCCGCAGATATTGACCATTCCAGACTGCCGGGTTTTTTCGTGTTTACTTCTCCACGATATGTCTGTGAAGTCACAGAGCAGATATCACTGTCACGGTTGGGCTGCTCACCATCACTGTCACCATCACCACCACTGTACTCCGTAAGGCTGGATTGACGACTTAAGCGCTGAGAAGAGAGGGCACTGATGATCCAACACACCACCACACACCACTTCTCACCTCGATCAGCAGAGCAAAGACACAACGGTTTTGGGTTGATGGGTTTCTAAGAATTGACTGCAGCATGCACAACTCGATTGGCCAATCCATCCGAGGGCACTGCTACCGACCAGACGAGCTCAGGTACGGTCCATCTGCCGACTGTCAGCAGCATATTCCAAGGCCCAGCCCTGATTGGACTGGCTGCATAGGGACCTGGCAGGGGTTCACCAGCGGCACATTGAGAAGACTATCAACTCCATCACACCCTCAATGCAGGTTAGCACACCATCTGAATGCCTCCCCACTTTCCTGTTCTGGTCCTGTCACATTCATATTCCCTTGACGGCGGCTCAGAGCCACGGCTAACAAGATGGAAATCGATACTTGTACTGGGCTGAATCCACCTCTTCCATTCTCATGTTCCTGTTGCCACTCTCGCTCTCTTGGTCCATCGACAACCACCCTTCCTTTTCTTCACTCCTCCCTTTTCATCATATAGTTAATTTTACCTAATTCTCCAGGCTGGATCCTGGTTCTTTACAACTTCACAATGCTTCTCCTACCAGTTGTTCTCCTTATCCCACAGCTTGTGTCGGCACTCCAAGTAACACCAAACTCGCCGTGCGCCTCAAAATGCCTAGACTCGAACGACCTCGATGCTTCCGATCCCAATTCATCACACACGAGGAATTCAGATATTGTTTGCGAAGACTCCAAGTTCTCATCGGCAAAGGGCACAAAGTGGCAGACTTGCATGTCATGTCTTGAGACGAGCACCTTTTCGCAAGGGGGGGAGAGTGACACCATGTGGTTCTTGTGTTAGTTGTCCTTGGTTCTGTATAAAGAGAACTCTTCCCACTAACAATATTTCTCTAGACAACCTACGATATGCCGCTGCCTACTGTGTATTTGGGTATCCCAATGGGACAAGTATCGGACTGGATGTATGCACCACAAGCAAGGCCTGTGGGCCATTACGGGACGGTGTTGAGCACGGCCTTCTCGACCAAAAGAATATGACGGCGTACTCCTACTGCAAAGCCGGCACAGGAGGTGCCAACGACCTTTCCCATTATGAAGGCTGCTTGTCTTGCGTCGCCCCCCATGGCTCGACAAACTACCTGACCAACTACTTCAAAGCAATGGAGGCCGGATGTGCCCAGCAACCCGCAACAGGTGTGCCTCTTGGGCTGAACGAGACTGTGTTCTCCCACAACCGAATCACTCTTGTCGACCCATTAGCACCCAAGGATGACGGCGACAGCGAACCGGCTATCGGTACAACCACCATCAT